AACAAACACAAATATCTGCTTCTTCAGGGATCCCATTGGCAGCAGCTCTGGAACCAGGACACCGCCCCAGCAGCTCAGTGACCGTCTCAGCCAACAAGCAGCATGGAGACAGTGGAGGACGAGGCCAAGAGAGGGCCGCAGGGGCTCGAGTGTGGCTGTTGTTTTGTCAACCTTCCCCTCCTAGCGCCCGCCTTACCCTTCCTCACCAATTTATGCATCTTCCCTCACGACTATTTCTTGTCTTCTCCCCCCCCTCCCTCCTCCCCGTTTTGGCTCGACCTTCGCTTTCAGAGTGTCCAGCCACAAAGAGCCTCCATTCTCTCCTGAGAGGAGGCTGCCAGTCCCGCACTGTAACCCAATCACCTATCTAACAGAAGAGTGTGTCATCTCCGCAGAGTAACAGGAAGTCAGATCTCCGTCTCCCTGCCTCTGTCTCTCTCTCTCTCTCTCTCAGTCACACTTACTCACCAGAGGGCATACACGATGCCTGTATGAACAGCAAATTACCAATATCCTGGACAAAACAGCATAACATTTGATGTTGGGGTATCTTTATACTTGACGTGGGAGTTTACATTGACATAATTGTGTTCTCTAACGATAAGGCTGATATTCTATATTTTTCTTATTGTCATGAAATCCAATAAAAAGACCAAAACTAACAAGAATTGTCTGCGTAGCCAAAGCCTGATTTGGCTTATTCCTCTGTGCCATGGACCTCCGTTGTTGTTACGTGCATCGTTGCACACAGTGACATATTTCTATATTAGATGAACATGGGCATCGTAATTTATTTAGTGCTGCGTCCGGAAATGCACTAGTGCAACAAATCTGTGGCTCGAAAATAGTCTCCTATAAATGAACACAATGCGCAGCTGTTTTAGGAAATAATAGTGAAATGAAAGTGTAAAAATAAGATTTAAGTCTTTAGTACTATAACAGGCTTGTGAGTTAAGTGTCACACACAGGCTTGGGAAGTCTAAAAAGTGTTGACAGACTGGTCTTTTCGTGAGATTTGTTGTTGCCAGGCTTATTTTAAAATCACATAATTTATGTTTTATTAGTGAGAATATTGATTTCATTAATTGGAAAAAAAAGGTTTCTCGCCCAATAACAGCAAAAAGTTTAAATGTTTGTGTTTCAGTAGTCATTCAAAGACTGTTTGAAAAAATGAAATGATGAAGTAATGCTAGCATGAAATAATGCGGTGACCTCCAGAAAGACAAACCCTCTCTCCCAGCACATCCTTCAGACCAAGTCTTCTTAATTAAATGTGTGGTTCCTCAAATCATGGGCAGATTCCTGGAGATGTTCTGCAACACTTAGTGAGTGTGGATACAGCTGGTTATCAGAAAAAACCATCCATGTGCACTATAATCCTACCATGATAATTGTATTCATGGCAATTTGTAGAAACTCAAACAGCCCAGCTGTTACCTTCAATTTTAGGATGACAGTTCGGGTTCAGGGGTCGAAATGTTCATACCTGGAAAGAATGTATTTTCTAAACAAAGCCTGGACGTAGCAGAGGAACTAATCTTCCCAGAAGGAAGTGTATACATTAGGCAAACGTGATTGAAATAGTTTAGGATTTACATATCCCTTTTCTCATTAGTGGTATTGAGTGACTGGATATTGAATAACAAACATGCTGAAAGTGGGTTTGGAGAGCTCAAAGCGTCCAGGCTGGAAGGCCACAGTTAGCCTCACTGAACCCCCCTGATGTTGGCTTTGGACCTACAGTTCCTTCCTGTTCATGGAAATTCTTCTACAAACGAAAAATGTTTCAGTCTGAGCCTTAATGGCTGACGATGCAATTTTGTTTCAAAGCAATGTGTTCCACCTGAATGAATTTAATACCTAAAAATGTTTAAAAAAATATGAGAAAAGAATAATGACAATTAAACAAAACAACATTTATGTCAGCAAAGGAAGAAAGGAGCAAAGGAAAAATGTACTGTTGTTGTCTTTTCATTTACATGCGTTTAAAAAACAAAAAAGGAAATTAAACAATTGATTTTTGGTGACCATGTATGGAGGAAGAAAACACGAAAAATTAATTTACTGCTGAGGCCTTCCAAATCCAAACATACAATGCCAGAAAATTGACCATTGTGAAGACATGCTGACCTCTGCTGGACAAAAAGAGATGTTGTAGTGTATGTTTAAGGCCACAATGTAATCCTGTCCTCCAGGAGACATATGCAAGGTCATATTTGTATTTCAACCTTTGAATTTCATGAAACCTGCTTTAGTGCATTAGTTCAACACTTCAACAGTTCAAAATGAGGCAAGTTTTCATGCACTTCATTTTACGTGTTTGTAATTTCCTATAGCTACAAACAAAACCTTACTGTTGTCCTTGTCCTGTAAACTTGGACAGTTTTGTACTCAACGTAATTTAAATAGTAAATCTCCAGGAATCCATTTGCTTTTTTCACAGGAGACACTTTGACTTGCCGCAGTAGGCAAATCACAGGTGTTAGTGATAACACTAATGACAGCTGAATGTAGCCGCTTCAGCTTGCTGGCTCTGCAGAGCCATTGTTAGTGTTATTAGTAACACCTGTGCTTTTCCTACTATGACAAGTAGACATATCAAAATGTCCCTTGATTTCTCCAAATGTAGCATCTCATACTACTTATCACCCTGAATCCTATTTTTTCTTTAAACAATTACAGCTTCTGCCAATGGTATACGATTATTCCACTTGTTGATTAGGTAGCTCTCCTTGATTTGGAAACATTCTAGTAGCATTAGTACCTTGAAAACAATCAAATTGCTGCATAGCATCAAGTAAAATGAGACTCGCAGAGACATCCGAGAAACAATTGGAAACAATGTAATTTCAATGAATTTGCAGACTTTGGATATCAAAAAAATATAATAAAAGTACTAATTGCAATACAGACAGACAGTTGCTTTGTGTTTTTTAGGCTTAACACGCTCAATTTCATAAACACTCATTTGCATTTATACAGCCACTAGTGCACAGAGAGGGCTGTAGGTGTAACTCAAACAGCACGTGACTTGCAACACAACGTTTCAATTGTTCTCTTAAATTCTCCATTAAAGGACTGTACTTGATATCCACGCTGAAAAGTTTCCCAAAGTTCCGCAGTTCAACATTAGGAGAGGTTAACTCACCACAGTGTGTTTTTTTGTGCTCAGCTGAATGTGAGGAGCACCGTGGGTTTGCTGTACACGTTCCTCCCCACTAGATGCCACTCTTGTAACATTACAAACCGCACGAACTTCAACGAAACCTGCTGCAGCAACACGTTTCCATCTCAGCAGCGCCGACTTTGTTGCTCCAGCCAGCGTTGCAATATTTCCTGGCACACACTTTCTGTTGCTTGATTTGTGAAATAAAAGAGCTTCACTCACAGAGAAGTGAGATCAGTGGACTATAAGCGCAAGCCAGCCCAAAACGTCAACATTTTTGCTGCCATGCCACGTTTTGATTAATGGCACCTCATTTTCAATGCAGTCTCTGCCACATTGTGGAGAGGATGGAGCGAGAACGGAGGCAGACCGAGTGTGAGAAGGCAGCTCATTAGCTGTCCCGGTCCAGCAAAGTGGCTGCGTTCTCCCAGGAGAGCAGTTCAGAGTTCTGGGAAAGTCACCAACACGGCAACAGCTGCGACTCTGCCCGGACCTGATGAAAACTCTTCCTCTCTCTATACTCTCTGCGTCTCTTTCTTCATCTCAAGCACTTTGTCAGTCTGTGCCATCACCACCCCCGGGAGCCTGGATCTCTATCCATCTGTACTCACCTCGTTTGGGGGCTTAACTGAATGAAAGGACTCGTAGATCAAGCGGTCACTGTCCATTGTTCTCTGTCTGCTAATTGTGGATGTTTGTGAGTGTGTGTGTGTTTGTGTGTGTGTGGGGGTGTGTTTGGCTGTGCATGTGTGCGTTACAGGGGGTGTGAGTGAACTTCTGCTTCTCCCTGAACTTTTGACCAATGCTTTGTGAAGTTTTTGTTTTGTTTTGACTGAAATACGAATAATTGCATTCCGTCTGATGAGACGATATCTGGAGTCCTGCTGGCAGATAAGAGATGTGGTCCAAATGGACAGTAGTTAAATCTGATCAGAATAAACAGAACAACTACACAAAGTAGAGATTTGCACATTCAACACTCATTATGGTATGTATTTTTCAGCTAGAAAAAAATTAATAAAAGATATGTAAAAATCAGCAAAATGAAATTGAGTATCACCTTCACTGTTTTGTGATTATTTGAGTTTATGTAAGTGTCTTATTAGTTGATTATAGCACAATGGAACCAAACCACAGTTTTCAAAAAGAATATCAAAACCTTTCCAACATGCACGTTTGGTTGCATGCTTAAATGACAAATAAATATATATACTGGATATCAGACTTTTTTTACTCACAGCTTATGAGTGTGCTGCAGCCACCACTAGATCCATCTGCTGCAGACTTTTTTACTGTGAATTTTAAGTCACGTGACAACCTCGGCTCTGTTGCAATGGAGGAAATAAAAAAACGAAATCTCTGAGGGACTAAGTATGATGTTTGATTTAATGTAACACAAGGACAGAAGACAGCCATTACAAGTATTTATTTTTTATCTGAAATACAAATATATAAAAGGACAATCATATCACAAATGCAATAAATACTGTAGACATGGAATATAGAAGAATGCACAACTTTTGCAGTTCAGGTCAAAATAACACACAGCATTTTGAGTTGTGAGGTGATGTTGCACTCTAAGTCAATAACACTAATTGTCATGCACACAAGAAACTACATATCTGAAAACAACTTGTAGTCTTTATTGCTCTGACACGCTGAAATACAAGTCCTCAGTGTACTAAAGCTTGAGTTGGATTTCAGTTCAAAGCCATTGCTTAGGACATCCAGGGGGGACATTGAGCCACTGACAGCTCTCCAAAGATGGACAGGATGGTTTCAAATTGTCTGCGGGCTCTGTAAGAACCAAAGCTGGTGTTTGAAGGAGGAAGTCCTATGCTGTTGCTCCACATAGTCTCGCAGTGGGTGAGATGCCGCTGTCCTCAGACCGGCCTGACATCATGAATGGCCAGGTCTATCAAAGCAAAAGACAACAGGTTTATAGCAGTAAAGAAACACATCCAACACATTGGTGCTCTCTATACAATTCAAACACTAACATAGTCGTTTTAAATTGGTTGGTGTAATCTTTTTTAAAGTCATGCACAATGAGATAGTTCACTTTAAAACATCTCAACAGCTCCATACCAGGTTGACAGGGTGCACAAAGCTGTTCTCGAATCGGTCGTCCTGCAGGAGCTGTCTCAGGTGACAGATGTAGCTCGAGGCGAGTCGAAGCGTGTCCAGTTTGGACAGTTTGGTGTCCGCTGGTACCCAGGGCAGGGTGGTTTTCAGTCTGGAGAACCCTTTGCTCAGCACCCTCATGCGCGACCTCTCCCTGGCGTTGGCCGCGTTTCTCTGCGACTGCCGCGCATCCTTCTGCTGCGCCCTGGAGAGTTTGCGCTCGCGCTTGGTTCTCCCCTCCGCGCCGTCGTCTTCGAACTCCTCATCTGAATACCGGCTGGGATTATAGCAGGGAATCTTCCGCGCGCTCCTCTCCAGCGAGGTGTCAGTCCTTCTGTGGCATGTCTCATAGTCCTCGGCATCACTTGCAGCGGAGCCGGTGGACATTGCCGCTCCAGCTGTGACAGGAGTGGCACTTTAGGGACAGCACTGACTGAAAATGTCAGCTTGATGAGATTTTTTTAAACAACACGAGGTTGGAAGTAAAATTTAAAAAATGACCACTTAAATTCTCATTCCTTCACCCTGTCCTGACTTGACAATGCTATAACACCAACTGCTTGAGGTCAAGTCTGAAACTTGCAGATCTCTCTAAAACTGAAACATGGCTCCTTGCTTAGCTACCCCTCTAATTTAAGTGTCCTGGACTTGGCATCTCTACAGTTTTTTCTGAACATTTCTCCTCCCCTTTTCCTCCAAGCCACCATGACCTCAGTTAGACCACAACTCTGTCTCCCCATGTATAAAGACACAAGTAGCTCATCTGCAGCCTGATAACAACATCAAACCCTATAAATGAATTGCTTATTATTGGTAAATGGGAGGTGGAATGACATGGCAAAGTGACTCTGAGGATGTCTGAGGATTAATTTCACCACACAGAGATAATCCATCCAATACCTTTTAATACAGGAAGACACAACGTCCCCTGATAATAATACACACCGCCCTTTGCAACATTTGGAAATGCACAAATATAGTTAAATGTTCCCCAACTTTTGTCGGTCCCACAGATGTGTTTTGGTAATAGAAATGTCTTGAGGACCTTATCAAAAGTGTCTAATCCTTTGCTGGTTTCACAGAGGGATTGGGTTTCTGCAGCTGGGGCAACCTTTCACACGCAGCCTGCGTGCACCAGCACCAGCTGTTATCGGTTCCCATGACATCTGGAGCGTTGGCATGACGTGGGTGTGGCAGAGGCGAGGAGGCACCATCTTCATACCCATAGTGTCCCAAACATGTTTTACTTAGCCATTTCTGCCTTTTCTTATGTCCCCCAAACTTTTCTGAGAGCAAGAGCATCCATCTATAGAGATCGGACCGTGTGGATTAGGATCAGTGCTAACAGTGGGGGAAAGAGAAGACTGAGATTGCTTTGGGCCTCTGAAGCGACAAGATTGCAAAATGTTTTCACAAAGATACTGCATGAAGGGAAAACATTATACACTATGTTCAAAAAAATGCAAGTCCATTTTTTGGAGTAAAGATGAAGTTGATAGGAGATGTGGGAGCAGGATTTCTTTAAATGAATGGAAAGTTCTGTGTCCATACAGGATTTACAGGAGCCCCCCTTTACTCTCTTAAATATTCCCAGAAAATCCCAACTATTACTCATCATAATATGTGTGAAATTTAGATATTTTTTGACAATAGCAAGACTCTGCCAATAATTACCTAACTGCAGCTGAGATGCATGCTGGATTTTGGCCATGCCAGGATCACTAGAGAGAGAAAACTACTGTACTGAATGCTGTACTGTTCCAAGTGTGGAAAAAATACTTCCATCACGCTGGCTCCAATCTCCCTTTATTAAACTACATTCAGTCTTTTCAAAACATGTTACACTTGTTTGTAAGGATGTTCTATCTACATTTTTAAGTGTCAAAATGCAAAGTGAATGTGATTTTTAAAGTGTTCTGCAGTGTTCCACTGCTCAAATTTCCCTCTTTCACAGACCAAGAATGCTCCCTAATCCAAGGACACATTCCCGTGCGTCCCACAATCCCGCAATTCCATAAAGGTTTTCACAAGAAGACCTGACATCAGCTGGGCCTTGGAGGGAAACTTAGCTTGTCCTTGGTTGTGTCAAGAGACTGAGATACTAAGTTCCTCTTGTGCTGCTGAGACGGTCAGAGCTTCAGGCAAGCTGCCATCTCATCCTTCTGTCACTGCGTCCGACAGTGAGGTGAACTGCCCCAATGACAAACTTGAAGGTGCAAGCTAAGGGAATCTGCTGTTGGATTTACTTCTCATTTATAAGCTGTCATCTTTTTTTAAAATATATAACTCAAAACGTTGTTGGCTATGTGACACATATCTCAAGCTGCTGCTTCGTTCACTATCGGCGTGGAGCAGGTTGAGATAAATCAATTTTTATCATTGTCACTCTATAGATGTAGTTGCTCAAGTAGAAGCAGAAAACCTTGTCCCAAACATCAGTATAATTGATGGTTACATGGTTATTGTGTTTGCCCTGGGAATAATTAAATTCAAGACTAACAGTAATAAATATTACTTAAAACTTTACTTGAAAGGGGAACTAACATTTGTCCATCAGCAAAGACTCTCAGGGGTTGTGACCTCTATCGGGGCCCTGAGCTGGAGGAGCAGAGGGACAGGTGCAAGCTCATGATGTCAGAGGCCTCCCTCTGTTTCTCTCCCAACCTGCTATGATTCCCATGATCGCCACTAAAGCCAGGCCTAAAGCTGGTGTGTGTGTGTGTGCGTGTGTGTGTGTGTGTGTGCGTCTGTGTGTGTGTGACAAGAAGGCAGTGCACAAATCAGAGGCAATGATCCATAAACCATTGTGACGTTTTTTTTCTATTATTGTTTACATTAATAAAACATGCCCTGCCAGGAACTTTCCTGCACTAAGGAAACAATTTTACGAATAGAAATCCTTCTGCTCCTTATTGCAGCTTTAATTTCTGTCTCAAAAATGATAATTCATAATTTCATTCATTTTACTTTTAAAGTAAGAACTTTTACTTAGCTCCGTTTAATAACATCCCTTGCACATAAAGCCACATTACAGCATTCTCAAAAACAGCCACACTTTGTGCATAATAGAAATATGGCAGCACTGTAAACACACCACAGAAGGACTTAATACATTTGTTCATCAGTGGGTCACGAGCGAAACTTACTGTTTCAGACTACAATAATAACATCTACAGCAATACTATACCAAAACTATTCAGTGTCAAATCACACAATAGTTAAGGCAACTCAACATTAAAGCACTTCATTCAATTAACTGTTACAGTAGTTAAGTAGTCACATAATTATACCCTTTATACCTATACTTTTAAAATGTGATAAATAACTTCGTAAAGGGTTATAGTTGTTGCTATGATAAGACATTTTAATTGTCCCATACTCTTCAGCTTTTTTTGGACTCGATGGCCTTTATCAGAGGGGCCCACCGAGACGTGCCATGTCTTCTTGGCTTAGCCTGGCTCAAGCTCGGCCACATGTTGCCCCTGACGTTAACGGGGCCATCGTACTCTTCGGCCTCTGAGGTGATCTCCATCTTCTGGATGATGAGCTTCAGGAGGTTGTGTTGCTTCTCCATCATGCTTGACATCTCCTTTGTCCTGAGGGCCAAATACATCAGAGATGTGGCTTAGAGACGGTCTTCATTTAAACTTGAATGGATGAATAATCAGGCAATACTGTTGAGTGGCTCCTTGTGCTTATTGTAGAAAGTTATACAGTAAATTACATCTTTCTGTGACCTGGTAACTGTCTTTATTTCTATGTAACCACTAGGGGTCGCTCATCAATCAAAAGTTGTTTGACATACCCTATGAATCTAACATAATTGTTGCATTCTTATTGGTAGTTTAATGTATGCATTCAATTTCCATCGTTTCAGTGGTGAATACAGTTTATGATTCCAGGGAATAGAAATCTCTCATGTGATTCTTATTAGCAACCTTGAGTGCTTTACCTGCATTTCTGCTTCCTGAGCTCATTCTCTATCACACTGCAGCTCTTTGATTTGACCTGCAGTTGATTCCAGACATCAATTTTCTCCTCTTCACCTGTGAGTAACTGCTTAATATAGTTCTGTTAACAGGTGTAAAAGTTGAAGAAAGGAATCTGACATTAGTTACAAAGACCAATCAATATGTTGTATCACAGTATCTGATTTGGGCAAGTATTGAGCATACCCTGGAGCAGCGGTGATTAGGGTAGATGATAAGGAAGGGTTTGTCAACTCGCTTCATGAACCAATAAGGCAGCTTGTCTTCCAGAGTGGTGTGCAGCTCAATCTGGGGTCAGAAATTCAGATCTTTTTAGCCAGAAGTGCAATTTTGAAGAAAAAAGTCTCATTGACTAGCTCTGTTCGACCTAAAGGTTATACATTCTTAGGCTAAACAAATAGCATTACTTATACTCTTAAATACATCTGTCAAAATAGTCACTTTTCAAAATAATGTTGACTTCCCTATACAGGCTGTGATGGTGTTGAAATAGAAGAAATTATAAAGCTATATCCGGGTTTTGTTACTCACAAACCAGCTGACGTCACAGTGATTAAGTCCACTTGATATATACAGATATACATATATCTATAAATGTATCTTATTTTACGTGTCCATGTTAAAAAGTTTACTTCTAAAAAGGCCTCAAGGACAAAGTACCACAACATCATATACTGTGCTTGTGTGTAGTTATTTGTCCATCAAGTCATGGCAGACTAAGCAAGCACAAACAAACAGGATAAAAGATAACTTTGATGTTTTGAAAATGCAACATACATAAAAGAAATAAAAATAATTCGAGGAACAGATCAGCTATTTCAATATTTACCTGCATGCCAATTCTTTTCAGGGCTGCATTTCTTTGTACTTCAGCAATGTCTCCAACAGCTAGACCGATCTACAACATAACCAAAAACCAATAAGAACCATATCATTTGTTACGCAATTTAAAAGTACTATCAGTTTTCTGTGAGAGGTAGATGTCTGTAAGGAGTCAATGAACATGGTCACAACGGGCTGTCAGAGCATACTTACCATCAGGTTCACCAGCAGTATTGGCATAAGCATAACAAACTGCACAAAAACAAAGTAAGTCAAGAAGCCGAAAGGAAGTTCATTCTTCAGATAAGCATCCAGGAAGTTACTTTGGTAGTTCAGCTCCCCGACCATCATCACAAACGTTTGCATCACAGAGAGCGGCACGGTGTCAAACTCTTTCTAAAGGTAAAATAAAAAGAATACCAGCTTTATCTATCACAGTTAAATGCTGCAGAGCCTTTTTTTAAAAGAGGTGTAAAATAATTCATTATAAAACATGCATTAGCTGGATATTGAATTTCTTTTTCTTTAAAATGTCTCCCTTCTGTTCAACGTCAGTGGGAAGGATTGTAAGCAATCATACACAGAGTCGAGTAAAATGCAGCACATAATATCAAGAGCATGTCACACACAAGCAGTACATTACAGAGTGATGTGCTGGGGACAAAACGTGTCGAACAAATGTGTTTAACCCATTACAGTGAGGCCTGAAGATGGTGTTATCAGTTGTCTATTTAGACCTTTGGTCAGTCTCTCAAACTCTTTGGTCCAGGCCAAGACACTTTGTCATCTACTGTCCTAATTATTCTTAATATGTGCTTTTTAATGTTCATGATACACAAAGAATGATTTTGTGGCCATTTTGGGAAATATGTTTATTTGCAAGATTGATACCATTCTCATGTCTGTACCGTGAATATGAAGGCCAGCAGCCAGTTAGCTTAGCTTTGCATAGTGCACTTCAAGACGATAAAGCCTTCTGTATTAATTGTTATAAGAGTTAACCAATCACTTGCACTCAGGTTCAAAGCATGAAGCAGAGCTGGGGTAAAAAGAAGTAACAGAAAAAGAAACTTTTAGTCTTCAGAAATGTTGATTATTGCTTTCTTCTCCTACCTGGTTTAGCATCAGAGCATGGAACGCCAAACTAAATGCTAACACCAGGAACAAGAACAGCATCACAATACGGCCCAGGGTCCTCATGATCTCCCAAAACATCACAACATAGATGCCAATGCCCTCAAACCTAGAGAAACAGGAGATAATAAGAGTTAGTGGCCTCCGCATATCATAAAAAAAGACTATGTTAAAGTGGCGCTTTGGAGTCAGAGTGAGCAGTACCTCTGGAGATAAAGAAGAAATCCAAGCCAGGAGTTTAAAACTGCGATGGACCCTGCTTGCCAGTGTAAAGAACCATCTACATTGAGGATGGTGGGAATTATGAACCAAAGACAGAGGATTGTAGAAATCCAGTCAATCTGGTTGGAATAATCCTTGAAGTAATTCCAGCGCTTTTAGTAAAAGAAAAGAAAAATCACCAAAAAACACAACTAATTAGAAAGACCAACTACCTTGCAGATTTTTGAAAACATGTCATGATTACACATAGACACAAACACACACGAAGAGGGAGCACAGAGGCCGCTGTGCTGAAGCGAACCAGTAAAGAATATTTGAGTTGACAGCAACAACGTGTGTTACTGTACGTGCAATCAAATATTTGCGAGTAAAAAGCCAATATTTTATCAATACATCTGTGCAACAAGCATCAACACGTAAACGTCACTCAGAAATGTTATTTATTTTAATAACATTTTACATTTGTTTCCAGTGAGATATTAATGATTTTATATAGTGACTTTGTTTTTGTTACTGTTGTTGCTCATTCAAATATCAATTCTAATCCTGTTTTGAATTTTTATTTTTTTGAAATGATATATATATGTTTTTAAAAGCAATTATTTAGTCATGTAGAAGAGCAGAGTATTGACAAGAGTAGCCACTAGATGTACTAAAATCCTAAAGATAACTATCCCTATCTGAAGGCAACCGTAGTTCTCCAACTCGTTTGCAAAGGGAGGGGTAAGCAGAGGGGTATTTAGTTGGTTGCAATCTGTAAATCACCACTAGATGTCATTAAATCTTACACACTGGGCCTTTAACCTTGTGAGACCTGTGGGACAATACTGTCTTCAAGAGGCTGTAGCGGTTCCCTATGCAGTCACTAAACAAATTGCATAAATTGGGTATGACTGGAAAGCTGAGCCTCTTGTAGATTTAATAAGCCTGATTGTATTAATGAGTGATGATGTTAGTCCCCATAGTAGCCGTTTGACGTCATTGTATAAAATGACCTTTTGTAACATCTAAGTTATTCCCAGCCTCAGCATGGGAACGACCCTATTATACTTCCATCATAATGTTCTAAGCCCTTTCTAGACTTTCCAAATTTGAATAGGCACCTAACCACAGCACAATGTTATTGCAGATTTGTGACTAGAATGCGTTGACACACGCTGCTGAGCTGCATGAAATGAATCTTTAGCTTCCCAGCTTTCCGATGGTGTACGCCACTTCTATGTGACATGTATTGTTGACTTGCTATTTCCCCCTAAAGACCACCTGTCCTCCCAACTAAAAAGGACAAAAATCCATCTATGTTGGTCTCTTCAAACGATCACGCAAACAAACATTTTATATTACTAAACATCTGATGTGATGTGGAAGTGTTTCTGGTAGTTATGATCGAAATGACGATAGTAAAGTGTGGAGGTGACATCCTGACAGCAGTGATTCAGTGACGCCGCTCATCCATCACACCTGATTGCTAATGTGTCCACACAGACCTGGTGCTGAACAGATTTATGAGCACACATTTCATGTGAGGTAACGAGACTTGCTTATTAACATTACCTGTTGTGATATCTGCACCAATTCCTTCATCACGGAGTAGACGCTGATGACCAATACCATTACCATAGAGGAGGACAAGAGCATACTTTGCTGTGAAATGAAGGATATTGAGATTTACTTTATCTAGAAAGATTGAATCATTGTGGCAAAGGTTGATGCATTTGGAACATACATTACACATATGCAAAGACAGAGCTTCAACTTCTTTAATATTATGATCATCAATTGTCAATAGTACCTCAAAGAAAGATACTTCCACCATGATGATACGGTGCTCGCCCGTGTCAGTGATGTTCATACTGGGCCTCAGAGTCACTATCAGGTGAGTGAGGGGCAGCAGGCCTAACATGTACATGAACATGTTAATCACATGAGCCAGGCTCCCATATGCAGACCTGTGGATTAAAACAAAGACGGTTTTAACACTAGAAGAATAACAGTCAAGGTGAATAATGCATTTGTATTTGATGCATTCAGAAGACTTTTTTTTGATGTGGTCTGTAAAGTTGCAACATACGCACCACTTCATTGCTAGGTACTTTTTGCAGACAGGGTGGTTGAGGAGTTCAATGCGGTTGTACTGCACCATCGCCTGCAGAAAGAGTAACAGCTTGCCGTTAATGGCACATTTTTTACAAGCGGGGAAGAACAGCCTGACGGCTACAGCATAAACGATTTAAAGGTATGTGAATCGTATAGAGTCACAGGCAGGATGTAGGATGACGTCAGCTGATAGAAAGTGTGTCTAACATTCGGATATATATGAGATTGTTCGTGGTTTGGTAATAAATCCAACAATGCAATGCGACTGTGTATTAAAAGAACAAGTGACCTCACCTGCTCCCAAACCGTTACCTACTGATTACAAACACCTGCCTTCAATCGAGCTCATCACACTGCAGTTCATCTAACCTGGTTCCTCATCCATCTCAAGATCGTTCAGTCAGCTACAGTAGTAAACGCCTCAGGCCTTTCCTTGATAATCTAGGCTTCCTTGTGATTTGCCTCCTCGTGTAAATCCCTGGCTAACCTTGTTCTCTTGTGCTCCAGGACCATCTTCTTCAGTCTACCTGCCAACCTGCCTGCCAACCTTTTTGCCTGCTTTCAAACAGCTTTTCCACCAGCCACCACCAGCAAGCCACACCATTACCTCACACTCATTTGCCTCGCTCCAGTCTCCCCAGCCATTGTTCGCCGCCCTCAGCTTACATCTTTTCAATAATCTTCTACTCTTGAGTCTGTGTGTGCGTTTAGGTCCATCGGCGAAACCCATAACAATATCAAAAATGAATTGACATCCTGCTAAGCACTTTGGAGCTTGAGGTAGGTTCATTGCTTACAGCTTTTGCCTCTTTAGAGCCGTCCCTTGATACATCAACTGCTAACAGTCAATAGAAAATACAGTCTAGCAATGCAAGATAAGATGTCTTGACTACTAAGAACCACATTTAGAAGCTTGTCCATACATGTATACCCAACTTATGGTAGCGTTAAGAGGAGGAGAGCAGCAACCTGACCTCAGTCTATTCCCACCTGAACCCTCGTACAGTCTATTCCCACCTGGACCCACCTGGACTTATATCATCCTGCCACCCTTATGCCTCTCTCTTACCTTTGTGCCCTTTAGCCAGTGAAATGAAAATCTGAGAAAACCTGACACCACTGTCCCTTACGGATGAGCTAGCTGACCCTAGTATGAGCCTCTACGTGCAAAATGTGAGCCTGTGAATACAGAGCCTCATTAAAGGGCGATGCGTGACTACAATTTAACTTTACTTCTTATCAGTCCTGGGGGAGTAGATTATTTGCATTCTATTGTACCAAAATTATTTCTGAGAAAAAATAAAAGTTGCTTACGTTGAGTGCAGCTAGTGGCTGAATGCTGTAGTCCTTGTTATACTTCATTGTAGCAATGGGAGCTTGGAGCCACCTGAAATTGTATTCAATCTAAAACATATAAAGAATTGATTAATTTGTTTTGCCTAGCATATGCTTCATACATCATAGACTGTTGTGGTGTTTTTTATTGTGTATTTTCTAGGTGTGTTACATGATAGTCAGGACTGTTGTGATCATCATCAGATTCCCTCACACAGCAGTCCAATAGGTGCTATTGAAGAAAGTAGAAAAACACAGTGACATACAGTTTTACACGTTCTTACAAAAATGCTCAACTAGAACCAATACAAACTGCAGAAAGAGACAAGTTATGAGGATTTTTTTCTTTTCTTTGCCAGTGGCAAACCTTGGTGGTCTCAGGCAGAAACTCAATCATGTCTCGTATGGGACTTCCATGGGAAGAGCCAGGTTTGAACAGGCACAAAGCCTCATGTGATCTGGAATGGAAAAACACAAATTAATCAGAAAGCTTTTTTTTTTTTCTAAACTGCTTTGCTGTAAAATGACAATGTTTGTGACTCGGCCTCCTTGTTGAAATCAGTTAAGTCCAAACCAGGCACCGCCCACACCTGCAGTTGCCTTCACTAAAATATGTTTCTGAAAACATGTGAGGTGAGAAAAAAGGCAATAGAGTAACAGAATCTTGATTCCTAATCGATCAGCGCGTGATTCACGAGCTTTGATTGACACTGTTAGAAAAACGGCAGAAGAACCTGAATTTCACAGATTATTTGTCTTATATACTTCTGTCAAGATACAGTGACAGTTCGAGCAAATATTATAACAAAAATGTATTTTTCATAAAAGTTACTAACTGCAGCGTCAAAGTCACTACAACCTGTTTAACCTGTTAAAAATGATGGACTTTGGTGTTACCAAGTGGTAGTTGTCGCAAACAGAAATCCACACTATACACCCAGAGTTGAATGACAAAGGAAGCACATAAATACACCTTTTAATTCTTTTAAGCTGAGCCTTTTACATTATTTAAGAGCTTTTTGTATTCATAACATACCTGTCACTGTCAATTACGGCATTGACCACATCTGTTCTCCCATTTTGCAGAGCTTCATGGAGGAACGAAATGTCATTGTTGTTTAAGGTGAGCTCTGCTCCGTGAGACAGCAGGAGCCTGACTGCAGCCACATGTCCCTCTCTTCCTGCGATGTGGATTGCAGTGTTCTGGTACATAAATAAAACAGGAGAGAGTACTCTGCATTTATAATTGAACACTGATGTCTGACTGTACTGTCAAATATCTAATTATTTACGATAGTTAGATATTTAGATAATCATTGGATTTGGACAATGATAAACCTTTTGAAATAATAGTAATTCATACCCCATCCTCATCTATTTTATCCAGTAACTTGAGATTGGCTGACAGGAGAATGTCCATCGTGTGTGTGTATCCTGCAGATGCAGCATGGTGCAGACAGGTCCAGCCCTTGTAATCACTGTAAACAAGAAGCAGAGTAGGGATTTCTGGCACTGCTTCACCTATTTCTAAGGACTGTGGAGTAGATACAAAGTCTGAAGAGGTCAAAGTACCAGCAACAAAATCTTGCTCTTGGTACTACAAGTGTTGCTGGACTTTTGACCTCCAAAATTATAGTGCAATGTGCTTTTGCATGTACAGTATATGTACTTTTTTATGTTTGTGCATGTTTTCCTCTACAAGCACATGAGTGTACCTGTGAAAGAGAGCTCCTTTGCGCAGCAGAAACTGTACCACCTTGGTGTGCCCCTCCTTTGAAGCCAAATGGAGCGGTGTCAGGCCTCGCTCGTCACCTTCATTTAGCAGACGAGAGTCTGTGATGGTCTCCAGTAATCGCTGACATGTATGGATGCGCCCGTACCTTAGAAGAAAAGAGGGATGAGGAGAAGCAGTAGAGATTTGTTGATCTCTGAAATAAAAAATGGTTTTTGTGCAAGGCCCACAGTACAGCAAAGCCAGAGGTCCGGGGCAGTTACAGCACAGTTCATCTTGGCGAGCGTGACTATAATGCTCAAAGACACTTAAGATGGCTGTCACAGGGCATGAACCTGTAGTTAAATTATAGGTAAAAGTGAGTCGGTAATTGTTAATGACTAAGGGATGCTGCAAATAGCAAGAGAACATAAATAGAAGTGACATATTGTGATGATCTCTCTTTGTCTCTGAACCTTTTAAGAAGGTCAGCAGTGTCGGTGCAGTGGAGCCGCTACGGAAAGCGAATGAGGTGTCGATAAGAGGTAAAGTATGATATCATAGCATGGCCTTTATTTGTCCTCAATAGTTCTAATGAAATAGGTGCACATGACAGAAAAATCTATAACAATAATGTGGAATGTCCACTCATTTCACACTATTAGTTACATAGTACATTTCTTCATATGTGCCTCTCTAATTGAAATCTATTCTTGGGACAGCTCCTTTATGGTCACTGGGTATTAACTATGCAATTAATAATCGGAAGGCTTTTGAGCACATACATTGCTAACAAGATTAAAACGACTGAGCAGTGAGGAGACAGTTTTAAATGTAGGCCCATTGTTCATTTTTCATCCGACTACTGTTTTTACAATTACAGAGATAAAAGCCTTGGCCTGAGGAAGATCGTAAGTCAAAATCCTCTTAAGATCCATGTTTGATTAATGTTTCATACTGTTGTGGTGTCATTGATTAATACATAAGACTTGGTACAGAGGAACTACTGGAATGTTTAAGACAACGAAGATGTCCAGCTACCTTTCCTTCCTAATAATAAAGTGTAGATAAGAATTGCAGAGTGCGCAGTTTTTCTTCAAATTGAATGCTGTAGCTTTAAATCAACATCATAGGCACAATATAAAAGGAACATAGTGCACCACATCCATCCCACACTGGTCAATGTCAGCTGCAGTGACATTTCTGGCACTTCTTTGAGCAAATTTGCAAACTTGGAACAACTTTGAGTGAAAATCAGGTCAAATCAGTATTGTTTAGTTTAATGGTATGGGAAGTCATGCCCTCGGGGACCAATCGAACTCACTGAGCAGCAAAGTGCAGGACGGACTTCTTGTCCTTCGACTTGCAAGCGAGGCCGACCTGCCCCGAGAGGCCCAGCATGTTCTTCACTGAGTCATGGATGCCCAGTCTGCAAGCGTAGTGGAGAGGGGTGCAGCCCTCATTATCCTCACAGCTCAGCAGCGCCTTCACACTGCCAAGCTAAAGTTAGACACATTATAAACACATTTATACATTCATACATTATAATATATATATATGTATAACAATATGTGTATTAGACAAAGCATTGACACAGAATACTTTAGTATGCTGCGGCAGTCATGCTTCGTAAAGGGTCACACTTACACACACGTATACTGAAATCATATGAATAATAATCAAGTGTGATAATATTAGAACACAGATGCAGAGAGATCCCATTCATACACCTTCTGTAAACAACTATCAAGTGTAAATATATCAGCCATCCTCTGAGGCTCATTTTGAAAGCATCATTATAGCTTTAGGTAAAGCTTACAATGTTTTAAAGGATTATGTGGCTTAGTGAGAGTATAATGAACTTCATCAGCCGGCCTTGAATGCAGGCTCAAGGCAAATCGATTAAGGGCATTATATAGTAATCAAATTCCAGTCTTAATGACATCTTAGTCCAAGCAGCATGCCGTGCATTTGATGAGTCACAAACAGGCTTCATTAACTGACCTGCAGTACTTCTTGTGGGAGGTTTTTCAGACCCTTGGGCTGGAGAATGGCCAGGTGAAGGAAGTTACAACCGCATATGTCTTTCACGTTGACATTTGCCCCTAAAAGACATGAACATATGCATGTGAGTGCGTCTGCATCATCAGGCATTTCACGAATGATATGAATACCGCTGGTGGTGAAGTACAGTAGAGTAGCTCACCGTTTGACAGTAGCAGAGCCACAGTTCTCCACGCTCCACAGCTCGTAGCCAGCAGCAAGGGAGAGTTTCCTTTACAATCCATGCTGTTAGGGTCTGCACCCTAAGAAGAGAATGTACTAAAACCTTATAATTCCCTCATTAATTACCACATTCAATTTAACACACATTGCTGCAATTACAAATGAGATTTAACTCTCGTAACAAATGAGGCCATGGGAAAATAAGCAGCATCTATATTAAATGATACACTGCATTTCCTGTGTTTGTTCAACCAGAGTGGAGTTTGCATGCTTGTGCATCGTTTTACTGTGCAAACCAGGAGGAGGGCGCTATTTTACTTAACAAATAAAGCTCCCTAAATTTCTCATAATCTCAGATAAGATGTGTAACATGAGATGTGTAGTTTGGCACAGGCACATGTTTATGGGTAGTTAAATGGAATGGACATTCGATGCATTTTAGATATTGATTTTGAAGAGTTTTAAACTCTGCATGGGAAAAATACAAGAGCAAAACTGTTAAGAATTGATTAAACAGTGTGTTTGTCTGCCCTAAAGTAAGTTAGACCTACCATCTTACCCCCATAGTGCTACTACTGAAGCAAAGGAGCGTATCATAAGCTGGCGTTATCAGTTGAGTTACAGATTTCGTCAAGAAACCCCAAGATTCTCATTTCAAAATGAGTTCAAGTTTGTTGGAAACACTAAAAAGTCATGCAGAGACAGGGCATTCAGGCGACACAAGCGGCTAACATTAGCTTTATTAGTTTGCTAGCTAGAGCTGATCAAAGCTTGATAGGCATAGCAACAGCCACTACGGTTTAACAAACTGATATTACTTGATCATAAAAACGAATATCAATACATCCTGGTTAGGGACATAAATTATACAAGTTTAATCTCAGACCAGACAGGGGATGAGGCGAGAAGCAACATTGTATTTTCAAAAGAAATTAAAATATGATATAACTTTTAAATCAACAACAATAAAAAAAAAAAAAAAACCTTCATCAAAGAGGCTAAGCGTTATCGCTGTCGTCACTTGATTTGTTAGTCTTTCCAACATATTAAAACCAAACAAGCCACCATCTCAAAACAATTAGCTGGAGTTCGGTGCCAAGTGGCGTCAATCTCTGCTGACCATTTCAAGATTTCAAAAGTAAACACGCTTAGTGTGGACAATTTTTATTTGCTGTTGTAGCCAGTGTTTGCTTATAGAACGAGTTGACAGGAGATAAACTTGGACCCTTTTTTCCTGGGAACACAGTTCTTTTAAAACGGTCTATGAAGAGCAGCAGATGGTGACAGATGGTCTAAAAGCAATAGGTAGCACCTTTAACATTTACTAAGTCAAGAGGTGTGTTTGAAATTGCAAATTTAGTATAATGGCAGAATGACCCAATCACTAAATGGAATCCAAGGAGCAATGAAGACAGCCCTCGGCACAGGTGGAAACGAAATGCAGTTGTACTGTCTTTATGGCAGGAGATTAATAACGCAGTCCCTGATATTGATGTTGGGAGTGTCCTGTGCGTAACAGCTGTTGGGTGTGTTCTCGTGTGTGTTTGTGTGTGCCTTATTTACCAAAGAAATTAGGTACTCAGCCAGCTCTGTGTGGTCAAATATTGTAGCCCTGGAAAAGTAAACACAGTTGTTGGAAACCAGCCACACATCACATGGATTTGGAAGTCACGGTTTTAACAATACTGCCAGATGTGAAACAAAGACAATCTCAATCTAATTCTGCCTTGTCAGAGCATGATATAACAACCATATGTTTGGACTGTAATGGCTCACTTAGATGAAGAACTTTAAAAACTAATACCTGGTATTCGGGTGACATTTATACAGTATACTCAGTATGCTCCCCTTGTCCTTGTATTGGATTTGACTGTTACACGGCTGTCTGCGCCAACACAAATAGCTTTTTAGATAAAAATCAATGTTGGAAGCAAATCTTTATTATGTATTCATATTATTGTTATTGTCCCAAATTAAAGCTCATTAGTCGGTCAGCCATACCCAGGAGTTTTATATCTGTGTTTCTCTTTTTTTGTCTCAGTGTTATAGCGTTGATAATATGCAGTTGGATTGATCTGTACACAGCATGACTAAGCAGTTGAGATAGTAACCACAGATATTACACATCTGCATAAACACAGTAGTGTATATTTTAAAGGGGCTCATGTATGAATAGTTTAATTGAAACAATGTATATTTACAAATTAACAAATTGTAACTATACAACGTATTTATGAACACAGCACAGCCAGCATCTGATTAGCAGAAAGACTGGAAATAGGGGGAAACAACTAGCCTGGCTCTGTCCAAAGGTAACAAAATCTATACCATCACCTCTAAAGCTCACTAATTGACACGTTATATCTTGTATGTTTAATCTACACAAAAAAAAACAAAAGTGTAAGTGTCAATTTGAGATTTTACGGGGGATTATGTGCCAAATGAACTCACTGGAATTTATATTGGGTGCCCGGCAATATATAATGATGAGTCTCTAGACAGTCACTGCAACCGTACAATAAATAGCCCCACACATAACAACCCCTCGTATCGACAACTCCAACCAACTGCTCCATTAGACTCCATGTTAAATATGACCACTAATTTCCCAAAGAAAGCAGACGGTACCAGTTTTGTTTATTGCTCTGGAGCCAAATTTTTTTAACACCACAAGCCTCTGAAAATGTGGGTGGCTGTGTAAAAGTGGCTGTAATTCCTCAACGGTCATTATGATTTTTTTGTTTTATCCATTGAATTAAAGCTGAAAGTCTACACTTCAACCACATATTGACTGATTAATTTCAAATTCATTGGAGTTGTGTAAATAAGCAAAATTAGAAAAATTGTGTCATGGTCCAAATACTTATGGCCCTGACTGTATGTAAGATTTTAAATGCAGGACTTTTACTTGCATTTCTACATTGTGGTATTCACACTTGAACTTCACAAACATTTACTTTATTATTAATTAACAACCAATCAAAATTTGTATTAATTAAGCTAAAAAAAGACTGAAATAATCATCTCACTGGTAACATTTTACTGTGTTTATTCCATTTTATTTATATCATGTTTATAATAATTTTCTATGTATAAGAGCATCTGGAGCACAACACATTTATTTTGGGAAGAATAAAGTTGTTGAATATTTGACGTCTCAAATACGAAATATAAAATCCTGCATTAATTTATCAGAGAGCAAAAATGTATTTAAAAAATAAAAAGTTCATGTGTGATGATAATTTGTGCTCATATATTGCACAAGATATGATCTATCAGGACTGTGGATATCATCGTTCTAAAAACAAAACACCAGCTTTGCATTATTTCAGGCACATTAATGATACATTTTTTTCAAATGATACATTTTTTTCATATGTCAGCCAGTCATTCATCTCAGAAATCGGAACATTCACGTATTAGAACGTAAACAAACTGGTATCCACCGCAACTAGCTGAAGGGCAGACTGGATGACATAATTTATTCTGCCTTTAATGTATAGTGGCTTTCCTATATCAGCTGTACTGTTATCAAACACACAGAGCCAAAGGAAGGTCAGAAGACACTGAGACACTGTCCAGCAGGAGACAAAGGTGAAAGACATGGAGAAGAAAGCAATGCAGGAAGAGATAAACGGCCTGAAAATCATGCTGCGCAAGGCTCTGACTGACCACATGGACTATGTGGAGATGGGCATCGTCCACCAGAAAGCGCAGCTGATGAAGACCGAGGACCTGCAGGTCGAACTGGAGCAGACGAAGAAAGAGAACGAGGCCTTGAAGTTGCAGCGCAGTGCCGCAAATCGGAAGTTGAGTGAGATGGAGGCTGAGAAGGCTGTGGGACTGGGTTCCTATCTAGTCGAAAAAGTCACCGCTGCCCTGAGAATGTTAAAGGGTCAATTTAAATTCACGGCCGATCCGACGGAGCCCGAGGAGGAGCTGAAGACTCTACTTGATGGAAGGCAGCGGGACGAGCGTTGCAACCTGGAAGAGCTGGAAATTTCCAGAAGCACGTTTCTTGCCCAGATGGCGATCCATGAAGAGGATGATCGGTTCATGCCTGACCGTCTCCTGTGGGAGGAGGAGAACTCCTACATGCTGGAGGAGAACAGAGACTCCTGTGTGGCTTGGCTCAACCATCAGAAAAAGAAGGCCTCCCTTCAGGAGGACCTCCTTGCTGTGGAGGCCCAGCTGGAGGAGACCAAAGCCCCCTCTGTGGATCAACTAAACCAGCAGAAGATGGAGAATGAAAAACTCCAGAATGCTCTGAAGGAGACCGAGGACAAGCTGAAGACTCAACTTGATCGAAGGCAGAGGGACAAAATTTGCCACCTGGAAGAGCTGAAAAAGTCCAGAAGCACGTTTCTGGTGGCGATCCATAAAAAAGAGACGGATCAGTTCATGGCCGACCGTCTCCAGTGGGAGCAGGAGAAAGCCTCCCTGCTGGAGGAGAACAGAGACTCCTGTGTGACTCGGCTCAACCATCAGAAAGAGGAGGTCGACCACTTTGCGGCTGCACTGAGGAATGCCGAGCAGCATTTTGAGGGTTTTCGAGAGTGGCGGGAGGAAAAATCGTCCCTCACTCGGGCCATGGAGGAGCTCAAGCAGACGATGCAGAAGAAAGAGCAGGAGTCGGTGAGCAGGGAGGCTGTCCTTCAGGAGGACCTCCTCGCTGTGAAGACCCAGCTGGAGGATCTGCAGAGAAAGGTCGCTGAAAAGAAAAGGAACAAATGGTACAGGTTCTCTGGTACGCTGTTCACTCCGCGCCGATAGGCAGGTGTCTGCCATCAGTGTGTGAATGTGAATAGTCTGATGGCAGGTGTCTGCCCATTTGTCTCAATAAAGTGCATTGTATTGTCTACGTTTTAAACTTTTAATTATTTTCTACGTTAATGTATGTCTAGTCAATATGGGCCCAAAGTTAAGTTGTTTTTTTTCGCTGTCACACCGAAACCCCATTCAAGTGAATGGAGAAATTTGCTTTGTTTTTCAGGATTTTAGGGGAAACTGCTGGGCAACTCTCTCTAGAAAATAGATAGCACATGATTCCCGATCAGGCCGCACGTTTTGATGTATTTTTTGCGCAGGTGTTGGCAACGCTGTGTGAGGAGAAGCGCGGCAAACTTTCTGCGAGTAAAGATTATTAAGCCCGATGGATTATATACAGTGTGCTTTTTTTCCTCTAACGATTCTGTCAATCAAACCCACGTTACCACCCCTGCATGCATGAGATTCTGACGCGTCTAAAGAGGTGTCATAGTCTGGGATTGGCCAATCATAGGCTGACAAAAGCCTCACATACACACAGGCAGACGAGAATTGATCCATGGTTCACAGACACAGACAGGGTTTAGAGAGGCCTCAGGCTCTCAACATGATGCCAAACTGCTGTATTTGGATAGATTGAATACTATTAGTGATAAAACATGTGAAATATATCGTTATATAGTATATAAAAGTACAATGGAACAGCTGGAACAGCTGCTTCCAAAATGACAAATTAGCTCGACCTCCCGTGGCCTCTCTGTACTAAACCTCTCTAACTTTTTTTTGCTTCACTTTATCAAAGCAAAAACTTTGCAGAGAGACTTCTGACATGCTGTGCTATGATTTGGGAGAGTTTTTAGCTTTCACCTGCATCATTAAAAAAAGATATTCATGCTTTCAGCGAACCTGAAACTTTTCAATTTGAGCTGTGTGCCATCTTCATTCACTGTTAACCAGTAAGATATACACAATATTTTCACATCTGAACACATCTCACAAGTGTTACCTGTACTATACCATCAAAATTATTAAAATAGGCCTTGTAATTACAGATTTACAGTCTATTTAGTATGGCTATGCAATTTTCGAGCAGAGGCCTAAAAATAGGGCTAGGGTTAAAGAGGTCCTGATGGAAAGGTCAAAGCTCAACACTAAAGACCAGCTAAAGAAAATCACCAACATAATTAATATAAAGTAAAATGTTCAAAAGGCCGAGTGTAAGCCCACCTGTGTAGAGGAGTCTGACCCGCACCATCAGTTAGGTTGATGACATCGTCCACTTGGTTAAAGGAGCACAACATCAGTTTGACTACATCAGTAGCCCCCTGGGTGCAGGCCAAATGAAGCGGCGTGGACCTGTCATTCTGCACATAGTATCAAACACGGTTTCATTATGAACGATGAAATATGAATATAAATATAATGAATATTCATCAGCTCAGCAAACAGAATTATGTTCGCTCTATGGAGAGACACCGTGACATACGAAGTTAGACAGAGCAGAAGATACAGAAACACATACTGGAATTAGCATGCATGCGTGTACTTACTCACACACATACATATTGTACATTTCCTCAGTTTTACATGAGGAAATTATCTCCCAGACTTACTGGCTGAACACTGGTGGCTGTAACACAAGCCTTTAATGAGATAACCAGGACTGGCAAGAGGAGGTCAGTGATCCACTCAGATCCCACAATGTAAGTGGAGGTAATTTGTGTCAATTTAGCCAACCGAAGCTATTACTGCACTCCCTATTCCTGCTGTAGCTCTGGCCACTACCCCGGAGCCAGATATCACGATCACTCCCAGATGGGCATGTTACGACTGACATGATCTGACAGTGCAAGCTTGCAACGGACAGATGGAAAGCAATATATGTGATCTGCAGGTTTTGACATGTTTATGACCATGCTATGCAGAGTTGTAAAAAGAAAACAGTGGTGATAAGCAAATGAATGGAACAGAAAGGTTAATGAAAACCACAGATTTATGCAGCGTAGAGATTTACACGTTTTTTTTTTTGTTGATGTCCCTACCTGTTGCTGGTCAACTTTGGCCCCAGCAGCAATGCAGAAACGGATAGTCTCGATATTCCCGCCACGTACAGCCAGATGGAGGGGACTGCTCTTGGACTTGTCTAAATAGTTGATGTGAGATTCAGCTTGGTGGCCGAACTTCTCTCCTGCCAGAAGAGAATTGTATCAACTGCTTTATTGTGAATGATGCACTGAATACATAAAAGCCTCACGATGAAGGTTTCTTAGTTAATGCTTGTTGGTATAAGCTTATTTGTTTTTATCACTGACAAGCTTTCAAGAGAATTTCAATTACACTGCCTCTATTTTATACCTTCCGTCTTTGACTTTAAACTTTAGGTTCTTTGTCATTTTTACTGGAAGGAAGTTGTAAGTAATTGTTTCTATTCATGTTGTGCCGTGAGTGTAAATTCCCAAACAGCACAAGAATGTGAATAACCATTAATTCCCTTGCTGAGCAATCACAGAAATGTCGTAAATATTTTGTGCTCGAACTAAATCTTTCTCCAACAACATAAGATTTGCCAAACAGACCTCCCACTGCGAATAAACACACTGTGGCATCTGGCCTGTGTACAAAGTAGCTCATTCTTCTCAATGTCTCCAGGGGCTCAGGTGAACTCTCTTCTTATCGCTCAGTTTAATGTGGTGTTTGGCCTTGTAAAAAAGTCAGCACTTTTATATTTTTGATGATTGATCGATCTTTTTGTCATACCAGCCTTCAGGATCACTTCCATGGCTTTCTTTGCACCTGCGAAGGCAGCCGCGTGCATAGGGAAATGGCCGAGCTTGTTCTGTTTGCAGAGCCGCGCTCTGTCATGCTTTAACTTTGACAGATAGGAGAACGGATGGAGAGGAAGACAAACAAGAGACAATTCTTCATCAGAGGCAAAGCTGCAGAGGGCTGGCAGTCAGCATGAAGGACAGCTACATAATCTGTTCCGTGCGAATGGAAAATTATTGTTTACTGGGTCGTGCAGGAAGACATGAGTCTGAATGCATCACTCTTGTACATACCAATATGGTGAGAGCCTCAAAGTTATTGAGGGAGCAGGCGAGAATCAATGGGGTGTTCCCAAGGTCTCCCTCAAGATTGCAATCTGTAGCACTGTAGGATACCAGCAGCTGCAGGGGGCAGAGGTAAACATTTAAGAGTGAGCTCCACCCTGTTTCTGTCCTCAACTCTCTATAAGCCTGCATCGTTTATCCTCCAAAATACCGCAACTGTGTCAGTTTGTCGACAGCAGTCAGATGGGGATGACGGAACAATGTCTTTCCAAGTAGACAGTTAAGTCAGGTTTTGTCAAAATACATAAACCGTTGACTTTAGAGTCCAGCGTTGCTTTAAGTAACACATTCTTGAGCTTGAAAAGATGTGATGTCATGATTGTCAACTATCCTTTTTTAAGCCTACCATATTTTTATTATCAAGGTTTTTTATTGTCATTGTAAGACACAGGGTTGTACAACAAAATGTGGTTGTAGTCCCTTTACGTAAAAAAAGATAAACATTTTTTGTTGGAGTGTAGATGATAAGGTGGAGTTGAGGAGTCTTGTAACCTGAGGAAAGAAGCTGCTCTGTAGTCTGGAGGTACAGCAGCGGATACTCCTGTATGGCTTGCCAGACAGCAGCAGGGTGAACATGCTGTTGCTGTTATTAAGTCTTGATGATGAAACAAATGTACTTCCTGTTGGCATACTGGGTCTATCAGAGCAACTAAAGCTTAGTTTACATGAGTAATTCAGTCGACTCCATTAGGGACTATATGAAAATTTATTTGAGAAAAATCCCCAAGTCAAATATCTTCAGCCCGGCCTTCTCACCTCCACCAGGTCGTTGTGTCCGAGGCAGACAGCCAGGTGCAGAGGGGACTGGAGGGCCGTGTTGAGGATGTTGGGGTCGGCCCCCAGGTCCAGAAGAGCCCGGCAGCTCCCCGCCATGTTTTTCTCCACTGCCCAGTGTAGCGGCACATTGCCCTGCTCATCACAGCTGTTCAGGTCTGGGAGAGCACATGCAATATACCACCACCCCCCCCCATACACACACACACACACACACACACATGCAAAGACATAAGGCTGCATGTAGATACAGTCAACTTAGACACAGTACTTTGTAATGTAATTATCAAACATACTGCTTTATATACTTTAAAAACAAACATATTTCACCCTTGATGAAGAGCAACTTAAGATAGATGATGGAGGCAGGCTTACCCTGTGAGTCTATGACGGTGGTGATGAATTGGATGAGGTCGACGCAGTCACCTGCTGCGGCGTGATGAAGGGGACTAGCCCCACATTCATCTTTCTCACTTAGGACCTCTGGACACTTCCTCACCAGGTTCTCCAGGAGAGCCAGGTCACCCTTCTCAGCCAGCTACACAGTGATGTAGGATGTAATACAATAGGAGTGTGATGACAAGAGAAGAGCCTGTAATCCACTTTTCCATTAGTCTGTCTGATTTCACCACAGATTACATGATAGCGAGAATTCATGTAATTGATGCTAAAAGGCATTAACAGCGGTCAGTATCTTGTCACTGCTACAGTAATTCAAATATGATATGTGTAGTTGTTCAATTTTCTGGTAAGTTTGAGCACAGCAACATACATTGTCACACAACAGTTGAGTTGTCATTCGGTCTCTATTCAGCTCTTTATGATGACTTTCTTTGAGGTTACACAGGGTTGGCATTACTGATGGGGTGTTACATAAACACTCCTCATATTATAAATGCTTGTAGAAGAGAGAACCAACAACTAAAAATGGTTTCTTCTGGAGAAAATGAAGAAATTCATACAATTTGGTGACAGCCTCACCTCGAATACATTTAGTCTCGCCAGGGCTGGATCCTCATCCTCTATCACATATGTGTAACAACTGGTCTGTCGGGCCACCTCCCTGCCGAAGTTCATCACTCAACTGACACTCAGTGGAGACATGAAGGGTGACCGCAATGACACGTGTCTAGATATAACAACACACACATACACACAAGGATGCACATATCTGTATGCATGCAACATAAAACAAATCCACTGCTTCAACAACTGAGTACATAAAACCTGCTTTCCAAGCTACAGGAACACAGAGTGTTATGTGACCGAGAGGGCAGATAACGCCTTAAGCCATTGGCTCCTCTCGCCGTGAGGGATATGGGCACAGATGACTTTGTGTTTACCCGGAAGGACATTCGGATCCGCCGAGCGTTTGGAGGTTAAAGCCCTTCTGTTGAAAAAAAGCAATTATGTTCTTCGCAGCTGGGGGGCAGCTTGTTTGAGTCAGTCCTTGGGTGATCCTGGGCAAGCGGGATTGAGAGAGACCTTGTAACTGTATCGTACGAGGCCCTCAGTCAACATAAAGGCCAAACAACAAATGCCATTTTTGGTGGGCAAATTACTATGGAGAATTCTCATTGGAAATCCCCTCGACCTTATGCGGCAACATTCCTTTGGTGTATAGTGTGACTGATGGGAGTTGTTTCTCATCTCAAAACAGCAGCTTTACCCCAGGTGGATAGAAGTCATTTCGTGGAAATTATATTTTGTTTCCATCGCACACTTGATTCACAGTACATCTCTGTTATTGACAACACACATTTAAGTAATACTGCACTGGTCAGTTCACCTGGATGGAGGTTCTACTGTATAACAGGGCCTGCTCTTTTGCTGGCTCCTTTAAGGTGAGCAGAATGACGCTCTCCGGATGAGGGATCAATAATTTACTCTAACCTCCGTGTGCTGCGGTCACCATGGTGATCAATTTAATAAAATTCTCCTCAGGCAGCTCTGCAGATTAGTAATAGATTCGTCTGACCAGTGAATAAGGAAAAATAAGTATAAAGTAGAAGTGAAGCTCTTTCTTGAACATGTGGTCTTGGCTTCAGGGAACTCGCACCAATTATGAGCTTCATAGGTTCCCATACTGTATAGACTAGTGATACAGATGTTACATCTGCCTAAGATCCATACAATGTAGTTCACCCATATGTGTAATAAGATACCTAAGTCAATATTTCCTTTATGATCCTTCAATATTTTAGTGCTACTTGACTTTGATCAGGCTCTCTTAAGTCTTGACCATAATGTAAAGAAAATGATGACTCACAATGAAAGCCTGTACTGCACCAGTAGTCTATAGCTCACTTCATCTCTTCTGTAGTCCAGATAGGACTTCATAGTACAGTAAAGCTCCCACAATGCAACCTCATTTTCTTCTGATTTGATTGTGACCCACTGTTTATGTCATCCTTGTCATTGTATCCGAGTAGCAGCAATAAATTAGTTTAATTGTTTTCTTTTCTTTGTGTACAGTAAGAGCACTAATGGCCACCAGTAAGCACATTTCCCAAACCGTTAAAAAACAAGTCATACAAGTATTTGCATTCAACAACGACATCCTTGCGTGCAAGGCATTTGCTTCCACAGTTCAGTCTCACAATGTTTATATTTAACAGTATACAGTACTATTTTTTATACATATGGGGTAAATGTTTGCTCATTAAATTAAAAAAAGGACTTAGTTAAGTTAGAATACCTAAAATGATAACTCAGAGGTTAATAATAGTTGCATTCTTAATCAAGAATAGATTTTTGCAGCAAAATAACTAAAATAAAGTTTAAAGTGTCTCACTGGACTATTAAATAATGAACGTTGAACAGAAAGAAACAAAGTTATGATAAAACATTTTATCATAATAATTGATAAATAAATAAATTGAGAGCATATTTAATGAGGAAGTTTATGCTGCGCTCAATGCGAACACTTGTTGGATGTGACTCACACTGCACAATAACTGATTCTAGTCCGACTACATCAAATACAATTAGTTAAATTGACATTTTGAGTGAAACACCAGCTAAAGCTTTAAACTTAAAAAAAAATATTTTCCACAATGAAAAACATTTTTCAGCATTCAAAATATCCCCAATATTTTCATTCACCCCCCGTAGTTTCTGATAAATAAGCAGTAAAGTCCAAACATTAAAGACAATGTTGAAGACATGACTACTCACTGTATCTGTGTGATGAGCTGAGCATTCAGGATGTTCTCACCACTGCAATGGAGCTTTAAATAGTGTGGTGAGCGAGCTTTTACCCGGTCTGTCTCCTAATGCAGGCAGGACGCTGCCCCTTGTGATCAAATGACTCCCCTGATGTTTTCACAGAGAAGAAGGCAGCTCATGTAAGAGGCAGTAATATGAGAGGACAACAAGTATCTGGAGAAAATCATTTGATTTGTCTAATCTTTTTTTCACAATAATGGTGAAAACCTTTATTTTTCTTGGCATTTTCTTTCCACTAAGAGCAACCAGAGCCAAATTAGCCTCTGTCATCATTTAAAGTTTCCAGGGCTGAACTTGTATTAGAAAGGCTCTCTGGCATTTTCAACAAACCATAGAAGAAACTAGACCACCCAGCTGCACTGAACATATACAATTTATCAAAACATTTCTCTGTAGAGGAAAACTATTTTGTTTACCGCCCGGGATGAGGCGGAACGCTGCTTTTTCCCTTAATTAACAAGTGACAAGATAGAATAAAGACGACCATTAAGACCTCCTTGTTGATGGTGAGGATTAAGGAATATTCCTCAGGGAATCTTTATCAAGCAGGATTATCAGATGAGGTATATCATTAACTAAGGATTATAATAGTATTTCGACCAGCATTATCATCAAGGGAATAAGTATCATGTGAGATTGTAGACTGGTCTTTGACTACACAAAATGCATATTCTAGCTGCCATGCCAGCATTACTGCATTTTAAATTGAATACATTTTTTAAAGTAAGTTCAAGTTTCAAATTTTAGTGAAATCTCTCAGCAACAACCGGATGGATTACTGTTAAATTCACAGATGAGTAATCACTATAGTGATTAGAATGAACGGCAACCTCTGACTCAGGTCTGGTTTATAGCTGCTGCACCATAATTAATTAATTAATATATATGCAAACAAGCAAACAATTGTCAAATTTTATTGAAGATCTTTGATGGTCCATCACACTCCTGACTCAGATCCGAACCTATAGCAAAGGTCTAACAGCTCAAAACCCAATATTTGCCTGGTTATTGTTCTCACAGGTTATCTTTGAGATGTGTTATTGTCTAAGCAATATTTGCAGAAAAGCCATGGACATGCAGCAGAAGCAGAGCCAGTGTCACGAAGCGAGTATTATCTGAGCTTGATGAATTGCCTGGATCAGGTTGTATTACATAAATAAACACAAGTAGAACCAGGACAATATGGCCGTGTTTATTTAGGAAATGTACGGTGGGTGATGATTTAATGCATGGAAGCGAGGGGGAGGAAGACCAAGTGGTGAGCATGTGTGTGTGTTTTGATTTAATTTGTTTCATGGGCTGACTTGCTCCTGTAGTGGCTAGTAATGTAGTGGCTATGTAATGACAATGGATTTGACTACTATGGCAGTCAGAAGGAGGACATGTGTATTTAGCAGAAGTGAAGTGAAGTGGCGCCCATGTCAGAATGCTCCACTGCACCTGTCGAACCGCAACTGCTGACGAGTCGGTTACCAACAGCTCTGGTGTTGGAAGAGTAAATTATACATTCATGACATTATGCAGAGAGCATACTGCATCAACTATTTAATTTGGCACATGCTTCCCCACATTCTCACCCGTGCGTTTGATACTACAATTACTAATACAAGTAAAAAACTTTATTTCCAATGTACATATCATCCCTGATTTACATATTGAGTGTTTTATTGGCAACAGAATCCTTAGGCAACAAAGAGGAACATTTGTGATGCACGTCAACCGTAAGAGTTATTTAAAGCTTGCTTTCAGTAGAAAGTTTACAAAGTGTGAAACGGACAGGTTAACGTGACGCTGTACATAAAAGTGGCTGAGAACAGCAATATGCAGAGTGCTTTAACCGTAGAGCTGTCAATCATAAGTTCACAACAGCCTAAGTGGTGTTGGTGTGGGTGCGTATGGATGTGTGTGGTCCTGGCAACATGTGGCACTGCTGTTCCATTACTTATATATGTGGTTACCTCTTAAGAGTGGTGGTGTCCTTGGGGACTGTGCAGAAGGCCTGGCTGCTTTTTGTCCTCTGCTGAAAAGATGGTCAGCATGTTTGACTTTTCACACGAACCGGTCACTGAATTATATTCAAGCAAAACATCACTTCCCCATCCATGACACCAAACATGAACTGACAAAACATTTCATGATGCTTATGCTCGTTTCAGTCGTTTCCCTGCCTCACAAGTGACGAGCCAATCACACAGTATAAATATGATTGCGTAGTAAATCTCTTTAGTCATACTGGGGATTAGACTCTTTCGAAGCATATAATGAAGAGCTCAAAGGCATGCTTTTCAGGCTTCACTGTGATTTGGAGTTTTGCCAGAGACACATTTCCTCAATTGAAAGGAAATAATGTACGATGCTTATATTTCTCCATGTATTTTCTCAGGGCGATTAATTAAACGTTCTGAATATTGACGTCAATAACAATAGTACAAGGGTGAGATTATTATTCTGCAGACTATTCCCCACAATACTGAATGAATAATGAATGTCTGTGATTTGAATGTGGTGCAGTAGTATCTCCCACATCAAGACATCAAAATCCATGTCGTGATTTTGCTTTGTGTTCATTGTAAGTAAACACCATAATAATTAACTGCAGAATTTGAGGACATAAAGTGTCAGTATTAAGATTTCCTTTGTGCAGATTTAATCAAATTTTGTAAGCAGCACTTTTACTGTTATTATTTTTGCTCCCCACAATGTTATGAAATGTTTATAAGACCCCATTGACACACATGTGTGGGGGCCTGGAGGTGACAAGGTAAATAAAAAAAGAAGATGAAAAAGTATACACACAGTACATGTCAAGACAGAAAATATTAAATCAACTTGTACAATAGAGGTCAAGTAAGTGAATTTCTGTATTACCACATTCATTAATTTCCTTCTTTATTCTTTGCTTTTCTATTTTGTACGTAGGTCTAAATCTATGTGATCTTTATTTGAAATATATATTTATGAATTTTATTTTTTTCCACTCTCAAAATTTGAGAGCAATGTTGAAGAACAAGAACAATGTTCAAATGATTTGTGCGCGAGAGGCTGAGCGGTCCGAGCTGTATTGGACATGAGAACTAACAGATAGATAGATGATGGTCCCTTCTTTCAGGCGACTAACAAGTGTAGTATCTTTTAAATCACTTGGTCTCTGTCTTCTTCCCTCTCTATTCTTTGTTTTCTGTCTCTACGAAGCCCCAGCTGGTCCGAGCTAAGCTGAGGTGAGCTCAACTGCATTGTCTTGAGACTACCGTGAGCATTATGACTGCTGGAACCCTCTGAGGTCTAAATCCTTGATCCTGGTGCCGGTGATTATCCGTGTGGATTCACACAGGTCAAACTTGAAAAACAATCATGTGCTACACAGGCTGCTGCTGCTTGTCAGGTCAGAGACAGCATCATTGCTTTCCCATCCCAGCTACACCATCTGCTCAATTTGTAAGGCAATGCCCTCACACACTAGTTATTATCCTACGTCAGGAGATTATAACATTGGTCGATGTGCGTGCGTGGGTGTTTGTGCGTCTCTGTGTCTGTCTACAGCTAATCTTGCATACTGCTTCACCAAACTGTATAATATATTGGATGCTCATTTATGGCTGTATGTTCAAGGACCGCTCATGGTTGAAGTGACTAACACTTTCTCATAACACCTTTTTTTTTGCCTACTTTGATAGCCTACTGCCATTTACTGACTGTTAATCGCTAACTCTTCATTCACTACTATTAACCGGCCCCAGTCAGGCTCAGTGGGGGAAAACAGTTTGCTCAGTTTTATTGTTGTGGATGGTTTGGTTGGTTATCAGCTAACGGAACCATCAGTACACACACAGCTGAGTGCACATTGTGGAACTGTGGAAATTTTAAAAAGTTTTTTTTAAATTGGCAGCTAGATATTGGTATTGTTGTGACAAATATTCATATACAGTATCATTTTCACGCAGATCAGTAATAACTCCAGGCTAGGACTGAATAAGCGATGGATGTGTGTTGCAGCTGTTTACTGAAAGCAATGCACTTCATGTGATTCTCTCTGCTCCATCCCCTGACGTACCTGGAGGACCACTTCCCCTGAGTCGACTTGTAATCCTCCATCTGTCATGTGCTCTGTTCCTATCATTAACAGTGAATTTACACTTCAACGGCGGACATGAGGAGTCCTCTCGTCCATAGTGGCTTATAGTGTCAGCAACAAAGAGTAAGCTTCATTTTTGAAATAACCACCATTGCAAACTAAATGTTCAGGAGTGCAACTGTCCATAAACATGATCGCAGTTTTTGTGAGAAAGTTCTGAATTGTAAGATAATCGTGACGAGGGTTATGCAGTTGTGGTGGGGAATGCTCCCCAGTGAATGAAGCATAGGGTGTGTTGTTCTGAATGCAGCCCTCAGACTGGCTCCTCCCCCAAACAATTCCCTAATCAGGGCGAGCTTAAAAAAAAAGGCACCTGTTGGCATGGCCTCATTCCTTTTGGCCCTTGTCCTGTCTCTGTGGTGGCTTGTAGTGTTTTGGGGATTACAGGTACTGTATGTATTTAATGTGATGAGGTAGCATGCCAACCCTTATGAAATACAGCCGCTTTTATTAACTCTGGACTGATGTTTTGAGTGACTGCACATGTTAGTACCCCATATATGAGGTGCTAAATAGTCAAAATGTTAATTTGTATTATTTTGCACCATGGTGAGCCCTGTTAATCCCAGTTTTTCATTTGTAGGTTCACCTGCTGCGGTTTTGCTTCTGTTTTGCCTCTGTCGCTTGCCTGTTTTGCCTGTTGTGATTAATTTACATTGTTCAACCAACTGGGTTTGTTTATGTATTTGTCTTGATTCTTTATTGGAAGTTCCCTTTTTCTTTAGGTGAAGTAGATTGCCATTGTTGGGAGGCTAGGCACTCGTGGTGAGGTCCCTACACATTATGCATGCATGTACAAACACTGGTCTACGACTGTAGACTGCACCATTTCTGTTGTGAGGATTGC